AGATTCAGACTAACACGGCTACCCCTCTGAAAATTCCCATTGTCTTTGATAGGGGCACTGCAGGTAGTGTAAGAGTAGAACATGGCTCTCCATAACATAACAGGAATGAGAGCCCTTCATTGAACATGTTGAAGGCACAAAAATGTACTGTGGCAGAGCTCTGACCTTGTCCTCGCGGGTCCTGCGCTTCTAGGCGGTATATGCTAGCCTCAGTGGCTCTCTGTGACCCTCCCCGTAGCCCTTCTCTCTCTAGGGCCAGGGTTACAGTCTACTGAGCCCTTTTCATTATAAGCCAGCAAGGAGGTTGGTGAGAGAACTCCCACAGTCTCTGTTGTCCCTAGGGCTTGTTTTAGAACAGTTTAGCCTCCTGTCCTGACAGGGGCCTGACTTCCCCTCCCAGGAGGTGTTCCTGTAGTGGTGGGTTGGGGGGAACCCAGGCCCGCCCTCTACTCCGGGGTCCGGCCCAGGGACCCTAATGGTAGCAGCTGTTGGCAGCCACCCTTTCACTGTCAGAGTTGCTACATTTCCCTGGGCCACTTCCCTACAGCTCTCCTGCTTCTCCCTTCTTCACCCTTACCTTAGGGCTCCCTTATCAATAACTTGAGGGTGTCTTCATTAACCAGCCCTTCAACCGCACTTCCTCTCCCCTGGCTCTCCCCTGCCTGACTCGAGTGAGCGCTTTTTATAGTATCAGCGGGGCCTTAATTAGAGTCAGGTGGTCACATTAGCTTAATGCCCTCACCTGACTCTTTGGGGGTTAATTGGAGTCAGGTGTTCTCATTAGCCTGGAGCAGCCCCTGCTCTGGTCAGTCAAGGAACAGAAAACTGTTAATCCAGTAGCCAGTATATCTGCCTTCTGCTATTCTGCTGTACCCAACTGGCCTGGGTCTATCACAGTACATAATTTACATTTCTCACCTTATTAGTGCAATTATAACCTGGCCTCTTTTCTTCTTCTATTCAATATTACTCACATTTTAAGGAATATGCTTAACTTTGTATTCTCTGACAATTTATTTAGAATACTCCCATATTGCTACATTTTTAAACTGCACCTGCTTTAATAAAAAATAATTAAAAACAAAAGATAAGGTCCCTAACATGGAACAGCAAGTACTATCTGCCTGTACCATCTTTATTATAGGGCTTGATTACTAAAGTTGCAGTCTTTTCTTTTTCCACAGGAAAAAAAAAATCTCACTCTCTCTCATTTGTGGCATACCAATAAAAATCTGTATTTCACCTTTACACAGTGCACAAAAGACATGTGATAAGAGAGCCCAATGAAACAACAGCATATCCTAAAAGGAACAAAATTCCCATATGGCCATACTATTAATGTTGCCTGAATAAATTAATAGCTGTAAAATAAAAGTAATATTTTATTAACATTCATTTCATATAAGAATAGAAGACATGAATTAAAATCTAATTGATGATAATCTGATTCAATTTATGCTTTAATTAAGATAAATTATTTTTACATGCCAATTTGAGTCAAAGACTCCCAGAGTAGGAAATGACAAAAGAAGATAAACTGTGTACATTACCTGCTCCATTCTATGTTATTTACATCTCAACAGTACCCACACATCATGGGCACAGCCCATGCACACAGCAAAACCACACACACTTTGATCCTGGCCCCAAAGACACTCTAGAGAAAATGATATCCTATATAAGCTCGATCCTGCAGACGTTACATAGGCAAAACGTCAATGGTTAATGCACACAGATCTGGGGTAGAATTTAATGACATCTTGCAGCCTTTAAGGCTTCTCTTTTATGGACTCAGACACACAATAACAAAAGACATACCTGATGTGCCAGTATGTATATATTGTGGCCAACATCTTTTGGTGAAATATTATCTCCATTCTCCTCCTCCTCATCACATTCTAGAGCCTGATTATATGCATTCTTCATTACGTCCACCTTTAAAACAAATTAAATTGAAGGGCTGTCAAATATTTTAATTCTATGAAAAATGTGAATTGCATTCAGATTTGCTCACTGTGCTCGGCTCAAATTTGGACAGGGCTTGTGAAGTCCTACAAGAAGGAGATGTACTCTAAGGGTAGGTCTTCACTTACCGGAGGGTCCAGCAGCAGGCAATCGATGTTCTGGGATCGATTTATCGTGTCTGGTTAAGACGCGATAAATCGATCCCGGATCGATCCCGGAAGTGCTCGCTGTCGACGCCGGTACTCCAGCTCGGCGAGAGGAGTACGCGGCATCGACGGGGGAGCCTGCCTGCCGCGTATGGACCCGCGGTAAGTTCGGACTAAGGTACTTCGAATTCAGCTACGTTATTAACGTAGCTGAATTTGCGTACCTTAGTCCGAAGTGGGGACTTAGTGGGGACCAGGCCTAAAAAGCACATTCAGAAAGAAAAGACGCCTGAGAAGGTGTTCGGTTTATTCTTATCTCAACTATTTGCACTCTGCTTTGCTGGTTTTCCTCTTTTGCCATTTTAAGACAAATTGCCAAGTTTGCAGTAAAAATCGAGTCTGGTGTTTACCTGTGTATTTCAGGTGAAATTCATCCAGATGTGGAGGGTTTTGGATACCAGTGTAGAAGGATGGTTCACGGCTAGAGCATGAGCCTGGGTCCAGGAGACCTAGGTTCAGTTGCCTGTTCTGCCACAGCTTCCTGTGTAACCTTGGACAAGGCCCAAATCCTCAAAGGTGTTTAGGCGCCTATCTCACATGGATTCCAATAGGAGCTAGGTGCCTAAACACCTTTGAGGATTTGGGCTTTATATTTTCTATGCTTTGGTTCTCCATCTACAAAATGAGCATAACAAAACTTCCCTACCTTGCAGAGGTGTTGCTGGGATAAATACATTGAAGGTTGTGAGGTGCCCATCTACTACAGTAATGGGGGCCCAATAGGTACTTTAGATAGACAGATAGTGAAGAGGAGGTTGTGCAGGTTACTCCTCCCCACCCCCCAGCTGTATGCACCATATGGGATTTCTGCATTAATGACAAACAAGCTGATATGGAGGGGGCACAGGGAACGGGGCAGAGTAGGGTGACTGGATCCATGCTTACACAGAGGGGTAGTGATTAGCATTCCCATAGGCTGGAATAGCAGCCCTGGAGGGGTTGTGTTACAGTCTCATGGCCTAGCTGTTTGTTGGGAGGGAAGTTTGTACCCTCCACCCCTGTTTTCTTAAGCTTTGTACAGGGAGGGCTGCATTTTAAACCTTCTGAATATCTTATGTGCTGACAGGGTGAAATCCTGGCCCACTGAAGTCAATGGAAAAACTCTCACTGACTTCAGTAGTGCCAAGAATCCATACATTGATTTTTTTCCCCCTAATAGTCAGCAGTAAAACAGGTATAAAAATGGGTTTCTGGGAGAAAGTGCAAGAAAAATTAAGTTATCTACAATTAAGATTAAAATCTAACAATGAGCTTTGTGGAAGAGCTTGTGAAATTCACCATTTCCATTTTTAAAACCCAAACTAATCATATCATGTGCTTCAAGGGATAAACTAAGGCCTTGCAAGGGTCAGGAAGGAATTTCTCTCTTCATGTACAACACTGCACAATTACATGGTTTATTTGGTCTTATCCTCAAAGCCTCAAGGCCAGATGCATGATACCAGACTAGATGGACCACTGATCTAATCTGTTTTAGGAAAAAAACCCACTAATTTCTACTACATTTTGTGAAGCTCAGAATGACAACATTTTTCACTAACAAAACTTCTGTGAGAAATAACACAAATCCTGGGCATCGAGAAAGAGTGCTTTTTGAAACGTGTTTAAAGAAAGATTGCGGACACTGCAGGCAGTGCCTTGTTGTTGGGACTTATAATGCAGGACACTTGCAACCTATTCCTGGCTGGAAGCATGCAGCAACATACTGTATCTCATTTGCTCACCAGCAAGCTGTGTATAAAAGAGCAGGCAAAGAAGAAGGGAAGGTTGGAATCCGGGACAGGATGTTGGGTGGGTCAGGGATATTAAGGTCTTCCAGAGAGTTTAAAGAAAATATAATTTCTTTGTACCTCACATAGGCCCTGATCCTGCAATGAGATCTGGGGGAGAGGAAATGGGGGTGGGGTGGAGCCTGACTCACTCAAAGTGTTCTGCACAGGCAGAAGGGTAAATCCACACAGATCATATTGTGGGATGGGATCATGGTTTTTCCAGTCACCAAATTGTTCATATTGGATGGACCTGGCCACTCTCCCAGCTTTTCCACCATGACAGAAATTCATGGGGGACAATTACAAATATTAACCCTATTCAAAGATAAAGTAAAAAATGTGGTTTTGACTTTTTTGTTTTGCCTGTGAGGTGCATTTTTTTATTCTTAGTGTGGTATCACAAATGGTACAAGCTTAATTTCACAGCTACTGACAAAATGTACTTGAAGACAGTTTACTGGAGTATGATAATTTAGTTAGGAAACAATTACAGAAAAGTGCTTGGAATGGATAAAAATAATGAAGTCATAAAGAATGAAATCATGCATGCTTGATCCTTCAAAAATACCTTTGGAGAATTAGTACTATCTTGATACGCTATATCCCTATATGCAGCTATTGCTATTCAGTTTAGACACAGATCCTTTACAAAATATTTTGAGGATAGGATTTATTGAGGGTGAGATATAGCCAAAAGTTTTATGAATATTCAGAAGTTTTCTTACCAGTTCCCTTGGTCTCATATTAAAAAGGATTCTTTCTGCATTCTCACTGTCATGCCTGCTTTCCATAATGGCCAGCAAAAGCTTAGAGGCATTGTTCTAAAGATACAAAACCAAGTTAGTGCAAATGTAAAATCCATTTCATGGATTAATGATCCTTACAATCGTTTTAATTGAGATTACTAGGACCACTTTTTTTTAGTGGATACGATTTTAAACTGCTTGCATCTTTTATGTTATTGACATAGTAAATAGCTTTGCAGCACATTGACATTAAAGTCAGAGGGCAGCTAACTACAGTACGTATAATATATTGGAAGGGGTATTTTAAATATTGAAAAATATCTGACTTTTAAATACAAAGCTTTATTCTGCATTGTGCACAATAAATGAGATCCCATTTCCTGTTCTTATTGCCCAGCTCACAGGTTTTGTCATTTTGTTAAACAATTGAGAGCAGAGGTAATTACAAAGTGTACCAAACAAAAGGTTTTGCCTATGACGCATGTTTCCTTCCCTTTTTGTTTTTTAAAGCATAATTAATTACCCGAAAGGCTATAAAATCAACAGATTTCATGCATTTCATAATCTTCGAATTTAATCTGAATACCAAGTACTGAGCATATTCCTGGACTCCTGGAGGGAGTGTTAACTATCGGCTTTTCACCCAGTTCTCTCCCAGGGATAAAATAGCATGTCCTTAAACAGTAGTATCTCCATAGCGTCTGAGAGTCTGGGACCCGATCTTGCTCCAATTAAAATCAATTTCAGCCCACGGGGAGGAAGGTTGGTTTCATGGTTCAAGCACTATACTGCGACTCAGCAGACCTTGGTTCAATTCCCAGCTCTGCCATAAACTTCCTGTGTGATCTTAGGCAAGTCACAAACTCTCTGCACCTCAGATCCCCATCTATAAAATGGGGATAATAATACGTCTACACCTTGCAAGAGTGTTGTGAGGCTAAATGTGTTTGTGAAGTACTGAGATACTATGCTAACCCCAGGAGGTCCCCTGTATGAAAATGTGAAGGCAGAATGGGGTCCCTTACTAGAAGCAAGTCTGAAAATGTGCCTATTATTAAGGTTGCCCAATACTTCCCATTAAAAGATCCTGTTCTCAGTTGCTTATGAACTTGCCTAACTGTTTGGGCTGAAATTTGACATGCTGGGTGCCTGCCCCAGGCTAAATTATTTTGGAAATTTTCAGCCAAAAAAGTTCAGCCTTTTTCAAGAATGAGGCAAAAGGGGAAAATACATTGTTTTGCCCATGTTAAAAAGTTCTGGTGACTTTTACTTTGAGCAGTTCTATAAGCCTCATGCTTTGGAGTAGGGACTTGAAATTTGGCACGGGGTGGCCTTTGTGGCAGAATCAGAGCTTTTGTTTTCCACATGTAAATCCACCTACATTTCACCAAGTTATATGCCTCTGAAAAAAATCATAGTTTGCAGATGCTTGGTAGAGACTTGCTAGACCTTTACAACTAAAATCTTCAAAAGATTCTGTCCATGTTGAAGCATGTTCCAGCTCAGGGCTGTGCAGGACTTTCTCTACAGTTGTCTTTCAGAGCTGCTGAAGGCTGTGCTGAAGTCAGTCACTGGAACTCCTGTTCTCTCAAGCCCCCCACCACAGACCCCGGAAAAAAAACTGGATCTGGGTGGGATGGAGTGAGCAGATTTAGACAAGGAACCCTAGGGGGGGGGGGAACTGGGACGGGAGGAGGGGGACAGAGTAGGACTGGCTGGGCATGGAGCCACAGACTGGAGGGGGTCACATTGGATGAGATGCTGGGGAAGACACTGCGCCTGGCTAAGCAAGGGTGCTGAAATTGGGAACCACTGGGGTGGAAGGAAGGAGGTGGGGAGGAAGGGAAACAGATCTGATGAGGAGCCAGGGCACAGGGGGAGAACTGGCACTAGTTGTGCAAAGGCAGTGGGACAAAGCCAGAGATAAGGAACCAAAGAATTTGTGAGGGCAGGTTGAGACTGGATGAGGCGCCTGGGGAGGGAGAGAGGGACTGAGAACCCATGGGGACAGGGAAGTGAGAGTATGGGAGAGACAGAAAGGACAGAGTCAGGGGGGAGGGGAGAGAGAGAAACAGAGATTGACTGGGCACAAGATATGGTGGGAAGAAGATAGGTGCTGGGACGGGATGTCTAGAGAGTAAGACTAGAACTGGCTGGGCAAGGAGACTGGGACTGAGATGTGAGCCAGAGGAGTGGAAACTGGAACTGGGTATATGAGAAGAATGGGCCTGGGACAAGAAGACAGAGGCAGGTTGGAGGGGACGGGGCAGGAGGAATCAAGCATGAGGAGATAATATTTACATAATGACATACTATTTTTTCCACAGGACTTCTGCCTCATTCAGTGCACAGGATGGACCTGCACTGGGGATGTATCAGGGTGGTGTAGGGAAGGAGACTTGTCTGTAGGACCCCTGCTGCATTTGTTCCAGAAGTTGGAACTTGTGCAGTGAATGAGGCAGGAGACTGCAGGAAGAGAAAGGATGGTCGCATGGTTAAGGCAGTTGAATACTGCACTGGTGAACTGGATTCTATCCCTTCCTCTACCACAGAGCTCCTGTGGGATACTGGGTAAGTCACTTATACCAAACTTTTCACAGTTGGTCACTGTGTGCCCATTTTCTGGATGGCCAACTTGAGGCCCTGAGGACTGATTTACAGAACAAATAAAGTGTTTTACAATGCTATGAACACTGAAAAATCAGGTCTCAGGTGTCTTAAATTGGGCACCCCAAATTAGTGTTGCATTGAATAATGAGGAGAAATTAGAAGACTGAATAGCTGCTCATTAAATAAGCATTATCCATTTTGTGCAATGAAGGGTCCTATGAGAAAAATAGTAGGTGATCATATAAATAAAGACTGTATCATAATGCAGATGTCTAAGGGGGCCCAATTAAGGTTGCACAGGCAACCTTGTTCCTGGCATTTTGTAATGTTTGACGAAAAATTTTCAACAGCTTTGTTCATATGTAGTAATACCTGACGTGTCACATTACTTGAGAAGCACACCACCAGATTTTATATCCGCAACACAGAATCTTCATACCAGATATACAGAATCTTCATACCAGATATACAGATTTGATCAGATTTTTGGAGGAAGTTGAAGGTAAGTTCCTGGATATGATGGTGGATAGAAAGGAACTTCACTGTGTCTGAGGCCTGGTCTACAGTACACAGTTATTTCAGAATTAGCCGAGTTAATTCGAAATAAAACTGATTCCGTCCACACGACCAAACTGTTTTTTTCGATTTAAAGGGCTCTTTAATCCAATTTCTGTACCTCACCTTGGCAAGTAGAGTAGTGCTAAAATTGAGATCGCAGTTCCGGGTTACAGGTATTGTGGACGCAATTCAAGGTTATTGGCCTCCGGGAGCTATCCCAGAATGCTCCCTCGTGACCACTCTGGACAACACACTCAATTCCGATGCACTAGCCAGATAGGCAGTAAAAGCCCTGGGGAACTTTTGAATTTCATTTCCTGTTTGGTCACCATCAGCACAGGTGACCAACAGCACAGTCCACCATCACAGGCAACCATGCAGAGTCCACCATCACAAGAGATCACACGGTCCCGGATTCGCAGATGAGCTCCAGCATGGTCCGAACGGGAAGTACTGGATCTCATCGCATGTTGGGGAGACGAATCTGCTATGGCAGAACTACGTTCCAAAAAAAGAAACACAAATACGTATGCTAAAGTCTCCAGGGCCAGGATGGAAAGAGGCTACTCCAGGGACACAGAGCAGTGTCGTACAAAAATCAAGGAGCTCAGGCAAGCGTACCAAAAAGTCAGGGAGGCAAATGGGCACTCTGGGTCACAGCCGCTTCTACTGTGAGCTGCATGCAATTATGGGGGATGATGCCACCACTACCCCACCACTGTCCTTGGACACCTGCAAGAGGGTAGTTGCACAGGGCAAGGCGGATGAGTTATTGGAGGACGACGAGGAGGAGGACGACGACAGTGCACAGGCGCCAAGTGGGGAATCCGTTTTCCTCCCTAGCCAGGAACTATTCTTAAAGCTGGAGCCAATAGCCTCCCCACACTCCCAAGGCGGGCTCCCGGACCATGACCCCGCAGAAGGCACTTCTGGTGAGTGAGAGCCTGATCGGAGCCACGGGGTGGGAGGCAGGGGGGAAACCAGCCGCGCTGGGCTGTTCGTGTTTAGTTTAAGAGCTATCCCTGCTCAGAGCCTCATTGGGGCCACATGGTGGGGGGTGTTGTGTTGTGTGAAATGATTATCCCAGCGAGCCCGCAGGCCCTCCTTTTATATAGCAAACCCACCAGGCATTGCTTGCTATGGGAAAGGGGGCCCTGCAGTTTGAAAGCATTGAAATGAATGCGGAAGAAGCAGAACCCTGCATGCCCCTAGGGCTTACCATAGCTGCCTGCAAGCTGAATTCTGTTGCCAGGCCACGTGTGATGGCTTACTCACACCAAAGTGGCAGGCACTTCAGTATAAGAGGCAAAATGCGACCTTGTACAGAAAGAACATGTGCTGTATACTATGAATTGACTGTTTCACTGAGAAAGAGTGTCCCCTTTGTTCTCTAAAATGTATCTTTTAAAATACTACCCTCCCTTTTTCTCCTCCTGCAGGTGCAAATGTTTCAACGCTGCCCCTATCTACTCCGTCCCAGAGGCTGGTCCAGATTAGAAGGCGGAAAAAACGAACTCAGGACGACACATTCACCGAGCTCATGCAGTCCTCCCGCACTGATAGGGCCCAGCTGAATGCGTGAAGGCAAACAATTGCAGAGTCTCGTAAAGTGTTATATGAATACTAAGAGAGGAAGGATGTGCATGATGAGAGCAGGCAGGATGCTATGGTCAAGCTCATGGGGGAGCAAACTGACATGCTGGTGGATCTAATGCGGGAAAGGCACCAAGACCACAAACTGCCGCTGCAGCCCCTGTATAACTGCCCTCCCTCCTCCCAAAGTTCCATAGCCTCCTCACCCAGACGCCCAAGAACATGGGGGGGGGGGGGCTACGGGACCCACACACTCAACCCCAGAGGACTGCACAAGCAGCAGAAAGCTGACATATCCGAAATTTTGATTTGGTTTCTGGACTTGTCCTTCCCTCCTCCTCCACCCCCATAACCCAATACCCATCCCTCCCAGTCTACCTTCTGATTTCTCTCAATGTGTTGTGCAACAAATAATAAAGAACAGTTTTTAAACAATTGTGACTTTATTTCCTTTCATATATATATAGGGGGAGGGTAACTTCAAGAGAAACAAGCAACTGTCACACCGTACCCTGGCCAGTCATGAAACTGGCTTTCAAAGCTTCTCTGATGTGCAGCGTGCCCTGTTGTCTGGCTGTGCAAAATTGGCCACCAGGTGAGTTGCCTCAACCTCCCACCCTGCCATAAACATCTCCCCCTTACTCTCACAGAGATTGTGGAGCACACAACAAGCAGCAATTACAACTGGAATATTGGTTGTGCTGAGATCTAACCAAGTCAGTAAACTGTGCCAGTGCGTTTTCAAACGTCCAAAAGCACATTCTGCCACCATTCTGTACTTGCTCAGCCTATAGTTGAACTGCTCCTTACTACTGTCCAGGGTGCCCGTGTACGGCTTCATGAGCCATGGCATTAAGGAGTAGGCTGGGTCCCCGAGGATAACTATAGGCATTTCAACATCCCCAACAGTAATTTTCTGGTCTGGGAAGTAGGTTCCTTCCTGCAGCTGTTCAAACAGATCAGAGTTCCTGAAGATGCGAGCATCATGCACCTTTCCTGGCCATCCCACTTTGATGTCGGTGAAACGTCCCTTGTGATCCACCAATGCTTGCAGTACCATGGAAAAGTACTCCTCGCGGTTTACGTACTGGCCGCCCCGGTGTGCCAGGGCCAAGATAGGGATATGCGTTCCGTCTATCGCCCTGCCTCAGTTAGGGAACCCCCGCGCATTAAAGCCATCCACAATGGTCTGCACATTTCCCAAAGTCACTACCCGTGACAGCAGCTGGTCAATGATTGCATTGGCTACTTGCAGCACAGCAGCCCCCACAGTAGATTTGCCCACTCCAAACTGATTCCCGACTGATCGGTAGCTGTCGGGTGTAGCAAGCTTCCACAGGGCTATGACCACTCGCTTCTCAACTGTGAGGGCTGCTCTCATTTTGGTGTCTTTGCGCTTCAGGGCAGGAGACAGCAAGTCACAAAGTTCCATGAAAGTGGCCCTACGCATACGAAAGTTTCGCAGCCACTGGGCATCATCCCATACCTACAACACTATGCGGTCCAGCCAGTCTGTGCACATGCCGTGCTTCTAGGAACGTCTGTGTCCATGTCCTCATCAGTATAGTAATCGCGCTGTCGTCGCTTCCTCGCCCGGTTTTGCAGGTACTGCACATACTGCTGGATAACGCGTGAGGTATTTACAATGGTCAAAACTGCAGCGGAGATCTGAGCGGGTAATCCTGGAAAAAGGGCGTGAAACGTAGGAGAGCAGAGTGGCAGCGGAAGAGGTGCTGTTAGATTCACAATAGCCGAAAAAAGGCGGGAAATGGTTGTCTTCTGTAGCTTTCATGGAGGCGGGAGCCCAGGACAGACAACATGGAGAAGCTCGGTAGCGCGGCAAGAGCGGGAAAGCAGAGTTGACGGCTGAAACTGTGCTGCTTGGTTCACGATGGCCGAGCAGAGTTGGCAGCGGAAGCGGTCGATGAGAAAGAGTAGATACTTCGAGATTACATAGAAAGATGAGAGGAAATGCGAGGTGGATTCATAGTACCAGGAGAGAAGCGGTGCACCGTACTGCGCCGTCTGCTGAAAGCAGTATGGCATCTGCATGCCCAAAAGGCATGAAACAATTGTCTGCCGTAGCTTTCACGGAGGGAGGAGCGACTGACGACAGACACCGAGAAACACCTGTGAGAATGTTTTTGCCCCAACATGCACTGAGAACTTAACCCAGAATTCCAATGGGCTGCGGGGACTGTGGGATAGCTACCCACAGTGCACCGCTCCGACATTCGATGCTAGCCTCGGTACTGTGGACGCACTCCGCCGAATTCACACGCTTTAGTGGGGATACACAAGACCGAATGTATAAAATCGCTTCCAAAAATTCGAATAGAATAATTTCGAAATAATTTTGTACTGTAGACATACCCTGAGTCACTGGCTCAGTTGAGCTGAATTGAGTTAATTTGTTTACTAATGCCACCGGGTATATTATGCTATCAGGAGACTAAGTAAGCGTCAGGGTGCCTAGTACTCTTGCATAGGCATTTATTATTATTATTACTTGAATCTGAATAGATAAATAAAAATATTTTCCATACCTTTAGCTGAAGCACCAGGTCCATGCAATATTTGCCAAGAGGGTTTATGTCATTCAGGATCAGTGCAATTATAATATCAATTCCATTAGACTCATGGGTAGCAATGCAGCTCTTTTTAAAATGAAAAGAAAAGAGAGATGCACACATATGAGCATATTTTCAAAACAAGGGCCCACATCCTAGGCTCTCTGTGGCAGCATTGTACCCGATGGCCAGTGCAAAGTGCCCCTAAAGCAACAGTAGCTGGCCACAGGAGGGAGGATCACTCCCATGGAGCAGGAGCTCTCTGTTGTGTAGAGCCAACATGTCACCACCCATCCCTGCTACAAGTCCCTGCTACTCTTTTTAGCACTGCAGTGTCCCACTGATTCCCCACTATTGGAGTCTCTCTCCTCCACAGGGAACAATGTCCCCCAGTAGGAAAAGTCTCTGGCAGGAGGGAAGCAAGGGGGAAAGACTCTACCAGCTCCCTGCTGCTGGAGTATTTCCCCTCTGTGGGGAAAGGGAGGCAGTGGGGAAAGGCTGATGAACCTTTCCCTGCTGCCTCCCCCATTCCAGAACCCTTCCTTGCCTCAGGAAAAGACTCCCACGGGGAAAGGTCCACCAGCTCCCCGCTGCTAGAGCTCTTCCCCCTCCACAGTGAAACATTCCAGCATCAGGGAGAGACTCTGAATGGTGGGGGAGCTGGTGAAGCCTTTCCCCACTGCCTCCCCTCTGCCAGAGCCTCTCTCTGACCTGTGTAGTTACAGGTACACACTGAGGTATGGACACCACCTACTTTTCTCTGCAGCGGGTAAGCTACACATACACTACATGCTACCACCAGTAGTGTAGATGTAGCCTACGTGACTATATGATTTGTGTATACAGATGCTCTCTCTATATACATCTATATATCTATCTATAGATATAGATACACACATATACATACACACACTCACTCTAGGATGCTTGCTTGTTTGTTTTTTAAATACAGAGTCTGAAATTTGCAACTGTGGCCAATGGTAATTCTGAATATTTTCACAACTAGAGTTCTGGCCCTTTTCAACTAGAACGAACATCAGGCTAAAAAAGCTCTTGGATTTTTTTTTTTTAAACAACAACATTACATAACATTAGAGAAGAAAAGGCTTAAAAATAAAAAGAAGAGAAAAATGAGATGGAAATGACAGCATTGGGTATCTGCCTCTGAAATACACAAGATCATATCTTCAGTTGATGTAAAAGAGCCTAACTTCATTCCTTAGTTACTTCACAGCAGGTCTAGGTAATGAAGTCTAAACAATCAATCATATTTTTCCATTACCAGTGTTCTCTGTGAAGCTAGATAAAAAGTTAACTTGAAAACACATTTTTCTTTCCCTTTACAGTGCTCTAATTATCTCTGTATTTTCAAATAGTTTGACCCATGAGTTTTTAAGCAAATATAATTATTTAACTTTCAGTGCACTTTAGCTTTTTTTGAAGTATGAATTAAGGCTGCTTGATTGTCAGTATTGCAGACAAAAACACTTTGTAGTTAACCAAGATATATACTAGGAAGTAACATTAATATTTAACTATATGATCCAACAGCTAACCATTTTAGCATTAAGGAACAGGATTTTATTTTGTAATTCTGTCCACTGCAAGTTTCTCCATTGTTAATCCATAACAAAAGTTGTGAAATTACATCTGCTGTTGCATCTTTTCTTTTGTTTAACCAGGCCAAGTAGAGTGATGTAAAACCTTTTACTTTTTCTTTCTACCCTGCCTATTGGCATAGAAAATACACCCTCCAGAAGACTCAGGTATATAACTTTATAGACTCCATCCAGCAAAGCACTTAAGCACATACTTAACGATAAGTCCTCAACGGGACCATTCATGTGTTTAAAGTCATACAAGCTTAGGTCCCTAAATCTGTGCCAGCAAACACGGAACACACCTTAAAGTAACTGCTGAGTACAGAAAAGCATGGCAGCATACACCTCACACCTGCCTCTTCCTGAGTGTATTTTTTTTTGAAAATCCCTGACATCTGACTGAAGAATTTCATCACCACTACCCAGTCTTGAAGATGCTGGTCTTGCAAGTACAGTAGGACGCTGCGCTAAACACTTGGGAACTATATGAATTACAGTCGTCATATTCTAGAAACTTGCAGAGAGACAACCACAGATAAAAGCTAAGAAATGAGTGAGATTTAGGTTTTACTGCTTATTTGGTTACTAATGAGTTTGCCATGTGCTGCCACACTTACAGTTCAAAACCTGAAAGGACTCTCAAACTGATTAAATCCTGGCCCTATTATGCCAATAGCAAAACTCCCATTGACTTCAATTTGGCCAGGATTTCACCCCACCTATATCTGAGAGACTGTACTATAGAGAAGACCTGATTAGACAAAATGAGTCCAAGCTCTGATAAAAGTGCATTTTCAAAGGCATATTAAACCTTGTGAGGTCTTCAAGTATGCTACAGCCAGCCATATCATTTGAATCAGGTCCTGAATTATTAAGATTAAGAAAGAGTTATGTAATGCCCATGGACACACAGGTAAATTCTTCCTCGCCAAAACACGATGATTCTAGCTACCTGATTTTCATGACAGGGGCCTTGGCAGTATTCAGTCAAGCTCTCGAGGGTTTGGTTCACCAGAACTACATTCTTCTCATTGATGTATAGCCCCAAGAGGCCCAGACCGCCTGTCGTGCTTCCACAAATACAGTCCAAGAACTGGAGAGTCTCACACACTAGGTTGTAATTTGTTTTGTTGTTCTGATTTCTTAAGAAGGTCTGAAAATAAAATAAGAGAGATTAGGCACCACACCGGAATAGCTCTACATTTTAATGGTAATTCTCCACTTCCCTTGTGTGATAAATGAAAAGGGGGTGGGGAGGAGAGAGAGTAGCTCCCTTTTATGGACCCAGCTAGCCAGGTAGGTATAAAAATCCCTCTTAGTAGTTGTTCTCTACTTGCTTTACCTGTAAAGGGTTAAAAAGTCTCCCCGCATAGGTAAAAGGAAGGGAGTGGACACCTGACCAAAAGAGCCAATGGGAAGGCTAGAACTTTTTAAAATTGGGAAAAAAATTCTCCTTTGTCTGTCTGTTGTGGTTCTCGGGGAGAAGCAGAAAGACAGGGCTATAGTTATGCTGCAAGAGTTTTGGCCAGGTATGAAAAATCATCAAATCATACCTAGAAATTACTCATTTGAAACCCCCAGATATGTAAGTAGGTCAGGAAATGCCTAGGAAGACGCAATTAGGTTTATTTCTTTTTATTTTTTTATGGCTTGTGGACTCCTCTGTGCTAACCCCAAATGCTTTTGTTTTGCCTGTAACCTTTAAGCTGGACCTCAAGAAGGTTATTCTTGATGCTTAGTTTTTGTAAGTGGGTTTTTTAAAAATCTAGTTTCCAGATGTTTTTTCTTTTTGATTTTAATAAAATTTACCTTTAAGAACAAGATTGGGTTTTTGTGTCCTAAGAGGTTTGTGCACATGTTTAATTAGCTGATGGCAACAGCTGATTTCCTTTGTTTTCTTTCTTAGCTCTTCCCTGGAGGGGGGTGTGTGAAGGGGCTTGAGGGTACCCCACTGGAAGGAATTTCCAAGTGTGCCTCTATGGGTTTTCAAAGGGTTTTTGCACTTGGGTGGTGGCAGCATCTACCCTTCAAGGTCAGAGAAAAGCCGTAACCGTGGGAGTTTAATACAAGCCTGGAGTGGCCAGTATTACTTTTTTAGAATCCTTGCGGGCCCCCACCTTCTGCACTCAAAGTGCCAGAGTGGGGAATCAGCCTTGAAACCTTGCGAACAGGTGAAGATTTCAACACACACACACACACACACCCACAATAAATAAATAAATAAATAAATAAATAAATAAATAAATAAATAAAAAGGTACTTTTAAGTACTCAAAATACAGGAAATACAAAAAATTAAAGTCAAATGCACAATCTTTCCACGTATTCTACAGAACCATACCTGGAGCTCTCGGTTGTGGTTTTCACATAGCAACTGAAGAAATCTCAGTATCGGCTGCATGATTGTGATAGCAGGGCTCATTGTTGCTTCCTCCGTGGACTTTTCTTCTGTGTTTGTAGCATCTGTTCCTGAGCCCATGAGATCTATTTCTGGGTCCATTTCTCTTCTATACACAGAGTAAGCTTTGGATGTTGCAGAAGACGCTTCTGTTAACTGCCCCTTCATACCTTGTTTCAGGTGCAGTGTTGAATCCCTTACTGTAAATGAAGACAATAATTCCTGTTTTCCCCCGTCTTGATTCATTAATAAACAAACACCACCACCACCACCACCACCATGTGTCTGGGGTTTTTTTTGCACTCAATCCCTAAAGACCTCTGGGAAAAAAATATTAAAAAATATCAGAGCAATGTTCACAAAAGAATAACATTTTCCAAATAAACCTCAAACATTGAAACAGAAAATTGAAACAAAAAACCACCGTCTTTCTGCCACATACTGTGAACAATGAGAACAATGGATGAACCACAGACTGGCAATTCAGTTCTTATGCTGGAATAAGTCTTTCACAAACAGCCCTATTCGTTTCAGCTTTATTTCTGTTTATATGAAAATACAGGGCCAAATCCTTCGACTTTGTATATCGGCATAGCGCCACTGACGTCAATAGAGCTGTTCTGATCTAACCAGCTGAGGCTCTAGCCCATAATTTACAGACAATTTTCAAACAGCTACTTTTATTTCAGCAGCTGAGAGTCTGCTGTAGTTGCTCTGAAAAGCAGGTATGGTATCAGTGATGATAAACATGCTGTTCATATACAAAGCATTTCTTTTGCCTCTATTTTAGAGAAAATCCCCTTTACCTCTCTTTTTTGGAGCAGATATGGTTAGGTCACTATCATCATCCTTCTTCTTGCTACCCAAATCAATAGTGTTGACTGTCACTGTTGACCGTATTTCCTGCTGAGCAATTTTCATGCGGTCATGCAGAACTTTAAAGAATTTTTCTGACTTCTTTTGCTCGTTCAGTTGCTGGTAAGTGGAATACTGCAAGAAAAGGTATCCTTTAGATGTCAGTATTTTAAACAAGGAGAAATACACTGTTTTGGCAAAACTATTAATTTCTAGATTATCATTAAATGATCTACACTAACCAAAAACAAATATTGGGTACTGAGAACCTAATTCTTTTATAAATTAATATACAGAGGAGGTCAAAATGTTTAAAATTTTGAAACTTCAATAACATGTTGAAATTTTGGAAAAACTGGGGGAAATTTCAATGCTATTTTGACTGCGTGTTGAGTAGGTTGCAATTTTTCACATTTCAAAATATTAAATTTTGAAAAGAGAAAGAAAGTGAAATTATTTTGTGAAATTTCCCATTTTTCTAACAGTTCTAGTGACTTATTATTCCCATTTAATAATAAAACAATAATAATTATGTCTATGTGGCACTATAGCTTAAACTACACAATTTCTTTAAATTTTCTTTGTCAGATGCTACTTCTCAAACTCCAATCTACAGACTTTTTCAGAGGGACACTATTTTTCAGTGGGAAGCAGAATGGATCAGCTCGCTAAGATGCATCATTCTTACAGGACAAAAATACAAAAATTAGAATCCTTAAGCTAAAAGTATTACCTATACATTACCTACAAAATGGAATATGGGTCTTCTGAAACCACTCACTTTTACATTAATTCTGTTTTTGAGGCTTTTGAGAAGTGTCCTTAAACTTTTTCAGAAAAATAACTTAATTTTGCTGCTATTTTTGACCTGATGGTATGTTTTTATAAAACCACTGCAAAACTCTTAAATTCAGAAACACAAACATGAAGCAACATATGGCCATAAGTTAAAAAAGTACTGTACTGCATACATAAAGATAGTTAAAAAGTGTTTTCCGTTATTAAGTCTACAGCATGAGATACTGCATTATTAGCAAAAGCATATTTGCATTTGTATTATAATGATACATTGTTTCATGAGAGAAACTTTTCACAAAAGTCACTGAAAAATTATTTTCATTTGTCTCCACACTACGTGCATTTCAAAAGCAATGAATGATAAGTAAATACCTGTGTTTGTGTATTTCCACCTTCAAGCAATGCAATACCAAGTAAGATGGCTTCTGAGAAAATTCTGTCATTTTTGGTGCTTACTATAACATCTATGACTAGTTCTGATGCACCTTCTTTATCCAGAAGGCACTGAATATCAGACATCAATATCCCAGACTTATCTGAATCTTGTCCTGAAAAGCCACCTGCAAATACAACAAATATATATCCTGTACATTCATATTCGTATTTGTGGTATACATGTTAAAATAAACTACCTCATAACTGATTTATCATTGATTTAAATGATAATTTTGAATAAATAATTACTTTAGTGCTGGGCCCCAAGAATAAAAAACATGAAGTAACATAAGATCAAAACCGTAGCAACACTGAGTAATTCCAACAACAAAGAAGATGGAGCCTCAGTGATTTGTTCACAGAAATGCATTTTTATTGCATTACTGCATATTTTAAAAGGTAAGCTGTGTGTCTTCTTTTGCTTCTTTATCAATCATCAACATGTGCTGAAAGGTTATTTTGATTTTTTTTTTAACTTAAGGCACAGTCTACACCCAGATTTTGTAGTGATAAAACTGTTTTGGTTAGTGGTGGAAATAGTTTTAAAAAATACAACCTATCCCCCCACCCCGTTTGGTCACAATTATACTGGCATAAAGGTGCCTTACACAAGTACAGCTTATTCACCTTCCCTTATGGGGAAGCTACATAAGGTATTATACTGGTATAAACACCTATATGGATATAACTGTATCTACACTAGGGCAATTGTACCATTTTAGCTACACTGCTACAGTAAAATGTTACAGCTTATGTGTAAACAAGGCATTAAAAAGATGAGGCCTCGTCTACGCTATGAAATTAGGTCGGTGTAAATACATCGCTCATGGGTGTGAAATATCCACACCCCCTGAGCGACACAGTTAAACTGACCTAGCCCTTGGTATAGACAGCACTACTTCGATGAGAAAATTCTCCTGTCAACCTAGCTACTGATGGTCGTGGAGGGGGGAGTACCTACACTGAGGGCAGAAGCCCTCCTGTCAATGTAGGTAGTGTCTCTACTGAAGTGCTACATCACACAGCTCACTACAGCATTTTAAGTGTAGATAAACCTTCAGGAATGTCAAATTCTGTCTTCCCTGATTCTGCTGGAGGATCTTTGGGAGGTCTTAAGGATCTTTATTGTGAGCGCTGACACTAACCGTAGGGGCAATGGTATTTGATCTTGAACAAAAGGCTACCTTTGTTCAAAGTGTTAATTAATCACTTAAATTAAATAGGTCTTAATAAAAACAAAAGGTTTTAACCAATCTGGCTGAAAATCCCTTTCCCTCTCCATTGCTTAGCTCATAATGCCACCATTTCTGTAGTACTCCAATCATCCACAAGTCTTCCAGTCCTGATAGGACCTGTGTTTATAATTTAAAAAGCAAGCAAAAAACAAAACAAAAAAACCCTGCCCCTCCACAACCACCCATATTACTATACAAGTGACATAATAGCATTATTATGAATGTGTCTATCCATATGATCTCTCAGCAATACTAGCTACATTTTATGTTCTCCATTGGACCATATAAACTTCAGAACTCATCTATGTTGTAGCTAACCAGAATGCACACACAATCACCACCATATCCACTAACAATTGAACTGTACAAACATACAGATGCACAATGTAAATGTACAGTGCCAGATTCTACTCTTGCACACATACAGTATATGTATGCAAGGGTCTGACAGAGCAGAATTTGGTCCACAGAGTCTCGACTGTAAATATTTCCATAGGACCAACATCTGGACATTTATATAGGAACATCTGGATCAGCACCTGGAAATGCGGCCCACAGAAGCAGGCACACATACAGTATATGCTGCAACAGTAGCATTAAGGTGCATCATGATCTGGCTCTATGCACAGTCCCCTCCCCATGCCCTGCTTAAATTACTACTGTCAACATCCAGACCTTCAAGATCATGCTCCTTGAAGACCCCTCAACTGCTTTGGTAGTGAAAGGTCTGTAAAGCCAAGAATCCTTTCCATGAGTTTTGAGGGACACCAGGACAGTGTGGAGAATTTCGGTGCTTTGCTCTGGCTACTGGCTGCAGATTTTCTGGCATACGCTTACACACAGCCAGTCTGAATTTGGATTGAGCTGTGTATTTATTTTTTATACTTTTGGATTGCCAAACACAAGCCAACTGTCTGACACAGGTGCATGCAATTTAACACAGTTTAGCGCTGCTCCTCTCCCAACAGGTCAATAGTTGTTTGAACTATTTACTGACTAAATCCCCTTAGCATTTACCATGCACCTGAGTAGAAAATAGGGTGACATATATTTTATTTTTCTTAAATGATTGCTGTTGATTTACCTCCCACTTGTGCAGTTTTGCTGTAGCTGCCGGACAGAGGCCCATTCATACCACTTCCATAGTCTCCTTTAAAGTAACGATTTAGAAGTATTTTCCTTAGAGTGTTGCCCTTTAGGAGAAGGATGAAAAATAGCATGAGACGTTACAGGAGCTGCCAATTTCTGCTTTCTGGAAAACAAGCTGTTTGCCACAGTAATATTCTACTAACTCAGTTTTAGATAAACAGCAAATATATAAATGGGGATGGTAGCTGAGAGAAGTATGGTTTTACCTAACAAATCTCATGGTAAATTTTCTAAGCTGCTTTTCAATATATTTATTTTTAAAAACTCAAAATAAATCAAGGGTTTTAAAAAATATTTTAATCATGGTCTTTAAGGCCTATATTTTTCACTTGGATCCATAAAGACAGATACGTGTTCTTCCTTTCTCTTTGTCCTACCTAGCATGGACTGTGCTGTCTCCTACCCCTCCGTGCTTGAGTCATCTTATATTACTCAGATTGTCTGACACTGTATATCCCAGCTGTATGAACTCAGACTATTACCTAGAGCAGTTACCAAACTTTTTAATAAGGCAACCCGCCAACTACATTTGGTCTTGTTTTGCAACCCAACATTACATAGATGCACCCTCCACCCCAGCACCACAACCCTAATCCCGGTCCAGTGCAGAGGGGAGGCACTGGAATGTGGGAAGAGAGTAAGAGAATGAGCCCACCCTCGCAGTGACTGCTCCTGTCCCATGGAGCTGGGTCTGACTCCCCGCTCTGGGCATTGCCTGGAACACAGAGGCACAGTGCCACTCTGGTCTGGCCACCCCTCCATCATGACAGAGGGGTGACCGGGCCAAATTTGAATGAGTGGCATTGTGATCTGGTGCCTGATTGGGACACATGGTTTGGGAAACATTAAAATAAGTAAAACAATGTATTCATGTCTGCATATCGGTGATAACAGAATTTTCTAAAGTCTTCATGATCCCTCACTAACTTCAAGCACTGAGCAGCTGATCTTCCACACACCATCCATCCATCGCCTCGCTGTTTGTACCCTACTATAAATGACCCTTCACCATTCCTTTCAGAATAACGTTCTCAAAGTTATTTCCATCTCTACGCCTAATGCAACCAAGTATACATCTGTTGATTTCCGACATCAGGGTCTGCTTCTCTCCCATAATATTTCCAACATAGGCATTTGTCTTTTTTCAATCCAGGAGATACGCATGATTCTTTGCCAGCACCACATGTCAAAAGCTTCAATTTTTTTTCTTGTCAGCAGCATTAACTTCCTAGGATTCACATCCCCATAAAAAAATAGGTTTTTCACCAGTCACACCGTCAGACATTTTGAGATGCCATGGTTTTTCCCCACAGTTTCTTCCTCTGAAACAGCTTTCTTGTCTGGATATATATGACCTCAGATAATTTAATTAATCTACTTCCTCCACAGCTTGTCCATTAATTGTGATACCTATTTGCATCATGTTTCTGTAGTCATGTCAATGTACAGACATTTTCTTTTCATCGCATTTAGGAATAGTCCATATTCCTCATTAACTGTTTTTACAAACTCCAGCATTTGTTGCATTGCTTTGGTGGTTGTAGCAAAGAGCATCAGGTCCTCAGCATATCTGAGGTTAGCTAAGAGGTGTCTACCAATGGTGATCCCAGCTCCTTCCACTTTGTCAAAATCTCACAATAAATCCTGCATATAAGTTAAAAAGCTGTGGAGACAAAATAAACCTCTCTCACACACTGCACAATGGAAAGCCACTCACTATCGCAGACTTCTGTTCATGCAACTGCCTGTTGTTTTTGGTAGCTACTTGTGATGAGTTCAGTGAGAATCTCCATGTCTGCAAGTATCTTCCAAAGATGGCTGTGCTGAATGATATCAACAGCTTTTGAAAGTCAATGAAGCACAAGATCAATGGTTAAATGTACTCTCTGCATTCTTAGTGATGTAACAAATATTCATGATTTGGTCACATGTGCCTAAGCCTTCTCTGAAACCAACTTGTTTTGGTTGTAGTTCTGCTTCTATCCTTTGTTTCATATGATCCCGGATTAATGGAGAAGGTATTTGAGCTGGCAATTAAATGATAAAGAATGAAGGAAGATGGCTTGGAGACAGAGGAATGCAGGAAAGAACATAAGGAACTGAACAGTGATTCAAAGGCAGACTAAATGAGACGAGTGACTATACAAGAGCAAAATGTATGGAACTTGAGAATTATAAAGAGAGTAATAATATAAAAACTATGCTCACTGTGGTCAGATTTTTTACCACACGGTTTTCCCCCTCTAACAAACATAATAAAAGATCACGATGGCTAAGTCCTCATGGAGGGGGACGATAATAAACTCAGGTGGACAGACTACCGTGCCAATCTGTATGCCTCACCACAGCCACTCATAATAAAGGACGACAAAAAGAGTACAGAGCTAGAGTCATCAATCCTGTGTCCAAGGGTAGACAACGTGTCTGCAGAATTGTTAAAAGCAATTGGCTAACACAGTACTGATCTTACATGGAAAATTTGTAATGATGTATGAATGACTAGAAATTTATGGGAGGGCTTGAAGAAGAGAATTTTTCTGCCCTGACTAAAGAAGTGAGACATAACAGAGTGTAGTAACTATTACACCTATTATCCTGATATCATATGTTAGCAAAGGTCGGGTCTACGTAATCCAGGATCGCATAAAACAGGGGTTGGCAACCTATGGCATGCGTGCCAAAGGCGGCACGCGAGCTGATTTACCATGGCACGCTGCTGCCGGCCTGGGGTCCCTGCTGCCGGCCCCGCTCAGCCCACTGCCGGCCTGGATGGATGGAACCCCGGGCCGGCAGCGGGCTGAGCGGGGCCGGCAGATGGGACCCCAGACCGGCTGATGGGCTGAGCTGCTCAGCCCACTGCCGGCCTGGGGCCCCAGCTGCTGGCCCCGCTTAGCCCGCTGCCAGTCTGAGGTTCCGTCCACCGGCCCCTGTAAATGTAAAATGTATTACTAGCACGCGAAACCTTAAATTACTGCGAATAAATGAAGACTTGGCATACCACTTCTGAAAGGTTGCCAACCCCTGGCATAAAACAATGGATAGAGGCAGAACTACCTCCAGAAGAAGCTGGGAAACACCGTTCTCTAGAATATTCCTCCCCAGAGTTCCATGTTGTGTGTGTGAGATTGATATAAAACCTTTTTCATCATTTGTATTAACCAATTAGAGGAAGCTCATTGTATCTGAAGTATCAAAAAAGAGAGGTGTAACAAAGAACTAGATAATTAAGCTGTCACAAAAGTATTCCTGTACCTCCTTGTCCCTCCACTTCTAAATATAAAGCAATAATCAAGCATTATACTCTATTTCTTTCCTCCCATTTTGTATCACAAAATGTTCTACAAAACATGACATGAGGAATTAAAAATGGGGATGCAGGCATTGTCTTCGTCACTGCATTTCAGCAGGCATTTTCATCTTGCCTTCATCCTCCCAAAAAACACTTTCAGACAAAACTAAGCTCTTAATGAGACAGTAGTTATTATGACAGGTGCTGATGTAATCCACATTTGGTTTAGTTAACCAAGGAAGCAAGTCAGTGTTTCCAAGAATTGGCATACAAAGAGAGTCTATTCTCACTGCATACTATTAAATTTTACAAATTCTTCTCCATGCCTTCTGGTGCAAACCAGTTTTTGAAAACCAGTGAAACAGGAAATGGCCTTCAGGACCTGCATAGCAATGGGACAGTAGACTTTCCAGTTGATAATTCTCCTGTGATTACTCTGGTAGGCAGAAAGGGGGCAAGTGAATTTCACCAATATCTCCAGAATGGCTGGGAAGCCCCAACTCAACGTTTCTGTTATCTCAGCAATATTTCTAACAGTAATCACAGGACTCTGCAGGACTTCATTTCTATACACATCACAGACACAATGGACTTGTTAGAACCAATCAAGTACCAACATTTAACATTCTATACATGTAGCCAGCATACACAAAACAATAGCTATTTCCTAGTCCGTAGGGTCTGAATTTCTCATTTTATAAGCAAAGCTTTACACAGAGGTAGTAAAAAAAGTGTCCTCTTTCATTCCGATTATCTTCAGCTACTCACAGACACTCCAGGTTCCCATCTCCACAGACTGGGACTTGTTCCAGAATGGGCAATACATTTGAGAATGTTTAACGGCCATACAGTGGAAAAGGAGAGTGTCAGGTCACTTGACTAACTACTTGTCTTGGGGCAACATCCTAGACAGCAACCCATACAATGGACTTACAACTAATAAAGTGCCATGGTAAGTGAATCCAAAAGTCACAGTGCAGTCATGGGAAAGAATGCCAAAAGGCATTGATATATAGTTTTTAAAAAAAAAGTCAAAAGTCATGTGTTTCATTATTCAATCAAAACATCCTCACTCTAAAACAAAAACTGTTTAAGCCCATGTAATAACATTTAACTAATAATTCAGAATGATTTACAACTGCAGTCCTATTGCTCAGGAGATAGCAACTGCTGCCTCTTCTTCATCCTCTCTTACCTGTCTTGTCCTCTACAAAGACAGCAGTAGAGCAATGCTATGGAGACACTTCTGAAAGCAGCTCTGCAGCTGTCACATTCTGGGGTGCAATCCAGACCAGTGAGGGGTTGTCACCCCCTGCCCTGTAACCTTGGGTGCCTCACAATGCTTTGCTGGTATAGCTCCCAACCTGGGCCACTCACATGCAGGTCACACCTTGCCTGTCTGTGTATAGTTACAGCCCTGGTCCAGCAGCTCTGACCTCCCGCAGCCAGTCAGCAACACTCCAGTCAGACTCTGGCTTCCACCAGCCTTAGTTGCTACTTGAAGGGTGACCCCAACGCACCCCCAGTCCCAAATTTTTCCAAAATGTGTGTCCAGTCCTCTCGCGGAGGCTTCAGATACTAAGATCCATTGCCACTGTAAGGAGTCAATATTCAACAATTTGCTACTTTAAACTGAACTGTTTGGTAACTCCAGTTAAACAGCACTGAATTGGTTTATAATTAATAGTAATACAATTTATTAACAAAAGAAGAGGATTTTAAGTGAATCCAAGTATAAGCGATAAAGCAAATAAA